AGAGTAAAAATCAAGGATTAGCAAACCTTTTCTGTAAAGGGCTAAATAGTGAATGTTTGTCTGGTTCTTCAGGTCAAAAAGTCTCCATCTTGACTAATCTACTCCGAATTAGCATTACATGCTTCAAGAAACCTTCATTAATAAAACAGGTGACATGGGGATATTTGGCCCAAGGCTCTTGAGCATCAACTCCTGATTTGGGTTATATTTCTTGATCCTAATTCATCTTCTAAACAGAAGTATATGAGAGCAACAAAAAATACTATAGCTCTTCCCCATCATGTATGCAGGGTTAGCCTTATCCATCGCCCTATGTTCTCTTTCATCCTTCACAAGTGAGGATTTCAACTGTTAGGCAGCCCCATCACTGAATCTCCAGTTCACCACTAATAAGTTTGTGTTATCACAATCTTGTTTTACAAAAGCAGTTAGAGCCAACAGTAAAGATAAAGAATAGCAAAAGAAAGTCTAGTTGAAAACATCCTGTGATTTCGACCCCCAATAAGCCTCCATATCAATATGTATCCTTGTCCCATGACTCTTCTAAGGAAAGCAGATTACAACGTTCCTTCTGCTGGGGGCATTATTAGAAAAATAAATTCTAGGAGCAGAAATATGCAGATCCTTATAATTCCTTTTCAGAGGTATTTACTAAAACCCATATTTTAAGAATTTTATAAGATGATCCCTCTCTCAGGTGTACAAGCCTATGTCACTCAAAGTAATCTTTTGTTTGCTTGTGCTTTCAAAATGCTGCCACAGGAATAATTTAAATGGAAATTAGAAGCCATCTAAAGACAACTTGATTTTGTTGTTGTGATATGAGGCCAATTGGAGTCCTCAGTCCCTTTCCAGGATAAAAATATCCTTTAAATTAGAAACAGTACAAATGTTTCAACTGATGCCAATTTTATTTTATTAAATATTATCTGATATTATTTATCCAATCAATCAATAAATTCTAATAGAGTGTCATGCAAAGTTATTTTTCTAAGAATAATAGTTTTTAAGCTACTAAGGCAATTATCTGTTGATGTTTGATAATAGATCTTGGTATCATGTGACAACACATTATTCTGAATGGGTAAGGGTTTTGATTAATGTCACTAATTTATGTCAATGAAGTCTAACTAACTGTGGATGACAACTGCTAAAGTAGATTTTCACTATCTTAAAATATTTCTTGGAGAAATCTTTGGTTTTTTTAAACAAAAGGTGTTTTAATTCTTTCAAACCAGTCAATCAGAGAACATCTGGTCCTTAAGATATAATTTCCTAATTGCTAAATTAGACGCCAACATGGGGGATTCTTTATGGAGAGTTGACCTGGAGTTCACTCAGGATCCCAAATACCCCAGGAACCCCAGTCACTCCATCTTTTTCATACCAGGTGAGGGTTGTATTGGTATAATAATATTCAGCTCATGGCACTCTTTCAGGTAATTACAGATATGAATAAGACCTTCTTTAAAAAGGGGGGATAGCTTCATGAAAGAATCAAAAGGTATGTAGGTATTAGATCTATAAGGGAGATTAGAATCACAAAACAATTTCCCTGAATCATCAGTGGTTGTGGAAATTGAGACAGAATACAATATTGTAGTAAAACTGAAATTGGGCATTCTGGGACATGTAGGCGAAGATCAAGGACTTTCAGATCTTGGTTTGCACTTGGTTCTCTTTGACATTGAGGAAATTACTTAAACTCCAAGTTTGAGTTTTCTCATCTGCAAAGTTTAGATAATAATAATACCTACCCTACAGTGGCCCTGAGTATCAAACATAGACATATCCAGCATATTGTTTGGTATATGGTAACAGTACTTTTCAACCTTCAGCTTATACCTCAGAGTGTGATGTGGGAGGGGAGATGAAAGACAAGAGACAAAGGAAAGAGAGTACTATGTTCATACAGGTAGAAAAGCACACATATATGTATTTGCAGTGTTATAGTTTCCTCAACGTTGCTACTGCTGATGCTAAGCCAGCCTGTTTCTAAACTATTTCATTTTCATTTTTTTTGTTAAGCTAATCATATTTTTCTAAGCTTTAAGAAAGTACTGCATATGCAATTAACAGTCTGAGGAGTTTGTAAATTCAAATATCCATCTGGTTTTTCTTCACAATAACACCATTAACAGTAGAACAAATCACTAAGTTAACTGAAGTGATTCACAACTCACAAAGAATGGCTGTCTTAGATCCTTTCTATTTTACTAGAAAAGACTCCCTGAAGAATAGGTATTTTATTAGGAGGGAAGATGGAAGAAGAAAACACATTCTGAAGCACTGAGCTCTAATTGAGGGTAGAAAGTTGTGATATAATTAAAATAAAATGTATTAAGGTGGAAAAAGGTGCCAGGAGGCAAAGGCAGACAGCCCAGGGCTTCAGAGAAATGTTGTGATAACATCTCTGTTTTTTTATGCTTAAGGTTTAGGAATGACAGTCTCCAAATTCTCCTCAAGTACTTCACATGTGTGCACACACATGCATGCTATGGCAAAAAGAAATGATTTCTAAGGTATAAGGACACCTATAACCAAAGATTAATAGACAATTTCTCATCTTTCCCCTCATGACTGTCTTCAAATGTTTACATCAGAAACAGTTCTGACAAATACAGCACTAAAAGAGTTAGTCAAAGATGTGTTCCAGTGTTCCAAGGGATGCCTGTCTTAGTAGCCTAATAGCAATTAGTTAATTTTCCTTAAGGGCCAACTTCTTTTAAAAGAGAGAAAGTGAGAGAAGCAGAGAGAAACAGAAAGGGCAAGAGAGTATGCACCAAAAGACAGAAATTAAAACAAAATAGTACTTAAGAGCAAGAATATTCTCCAGAGTGAAAACACATGCAGTTTGTAATTTCCTTGCACTTAATTAATTGCAGTGCAAGCCTCTCTCGTTAGGAGTCCATGTTCAGCCTACCAGATTGAACAGTCAAAAGGGAATAATTACAATGAAGCCCTGTCCTTGCCTCCTTATGGAGAGCTTTGCCAATTTTGCCAGGGACATCTCAAGAGACTTCTCTCTGCTATCCTCCTTCTTGGTTACCCTTTTATGTTAAAAAAAAAAAGAAAGAAAAGAAAAAGAAAGCATTGAAATGAAACTCAACTGTTTGCTTTTGGTTCCTCCCTACTAACTTACTACTGAGTTGACAAATTTGACAGGTACTTCCTGGACTTTGATTTCCAGTGTGATGAAGTTCCTTAATAAATTCAAGGGCAGCATACTTGCCAAGGTTCTGGGTTGCAAACAACAGAAATCAACACTGATAATTATAAATAAGAAAAGGAATTCATTAACAAATACAGCTAGAACTCAAAAGGACAGGGAAATTAAAGAACCACAGTTGAGCAGGATCCAGCAAAGGCCATGCTGCTGCTGCTCACCAGCATATACTGCTCCGGAGTAGCCACAGCTACCAGGCCACCAACCTCTCCTCTCAATCATGTTATAAGAGATGCCGTGGGTCTGAGCCATCCTATCAAGAGTCCTGGCTGGAAAAATCAGACTGACTAGTCTGAGGTCATAGAACCTCATTGTAACTGCCAGAGGGGTGAGCAGGGGTCTAAGTGCAGGGCCTGTACCCTCCAGATCCTTCCCTGGTGGAAGGTTGGGCCCCCTCTCCTTCCTGTACTGAGATTCCTAGAGAAGACTACTAGGTTCTGAGTGGTGAAACCAGTCATGCATCCCAGGACCTTCTCTGCCTAAATTCTCATCCCCCTAATATTCCTAGGGCCGTGTTTCCTACATTTCCAAAACACAAGGTGACAATGATATAAGTTTAAAATTGTTGGCCCAGTTGGCTAAGTGAGTACTTAACCCAGCCTTGTGCACAATGAAGGTAAGAATTACAACCAAAATACTTTCCTATCCTAGTGTCAAACTACATTGGATCAAAGCTTAAGTGTCTACTTTAGGCAGTTTAACAGTCCAGGGACCAAAATAACATAGATGCTTGCTCCAGGAAATGCTTGCTCCCGGAAAACAAGACTATAAACCGACTAAAATATATTGTTAAACGAGACTAACTGTTTACCCATAAAGGCAGGCTTTGAGAGCCTCACTTTGCTTTAAGACCCATTAATCTAAAGCTTCTAGGCCCTAAATTTTTCTTAATCTCAACCATTTTTCCACATATGAAGACCAGTCTCCCAGATATGGCTATGAAACTCTGCAAATATCCTTCCCCTACTTTATCTTCCTGAAGTACTACAAAGTTTTAAAAAAATGGTATTCTTCCTTATTTCCATGAAACTGATACTTAGTTTTGCTTGATTGGTAGGTTCTGCTGGGGATCTTTTTTGAGGAGTTGGCTGCCAACAGATAAATGATTGCATAAAATTATCAGTAGTATTCTGAAGGGTCCCTCCCCATCACTGCCATATTTTCCTATTGGATTACTTGTGAACAATATCATGAATTTTATTTTTATCTATTATAACATACTCCCAGCACCTCAAACACTATTCATGATATACTAAGACTCAGTAGATACTTGGATCAATATAACTGCAAGTAAATCATGAATGTGACATTAATACAATTTTTAATTTTTTAATGTTTTAATTAGTTATACATGACAGTAGAATGAATATACACACTTTAATATATCATACATAGATGGGATATAATTTCTCATTTTTCTGAGTGTACATGTTGTAGAATCACATTGGTATTGCAGCAACATATATACATAAAGTAATAATGTATGTTTCAATCTACTATCCTTCCTATCCCCACATCCCCTCCCCTTCACTTCCCTCTACCTAGTCTAAGATAATTCTATTCTTCTCTAGTGTCCCCTCCCCACATTGTGAATTAGTATACATATATTAGAGAAAATATTTGGCATTTGTTTTTTGGGGATTGGCTTATTTCACTTAGCATGGTATTCTCTAACTCCATCCACTTACTGGCAAGTGCCATAATTTTATTCTTCTTTAAAGGTGAGTAATATTCCATTGGGGAATATATATATATATATATATATATATATATATATATATATATATATATATCACATTTTCTTTATCCATTCATCTATTGAAGGACACCTGGGTGGGTTCCATAGCTTAGTTATTGGGAATTGAACTGCTGTAAATATTGACGTGGCTGTATCACTGTGCTATGCTGATTTTAAGTCCTTTGGGTATAAACCGAGGAATGGGATAACTAGGTCAAATGATGGTTCCATTCCAATTTTCTGAGCAATCTCTTTCCATAGTGGTAGTTTATTGATTTGGATAAACACATATTTTCATTAATAGAAATGAAAGAGTAAAAACCCCCAATCCTGTTATCCAAAAAATTCAAATAATTTTCATCTTACTTTTCAGTTCTTAGACACATACAGGCAAACATTTTCCTGGACTGTAACCTTAAAATGGATATATGTATGTATTTTGCTTTTCATTCAGATTGGTTCTAAATAGTTCCATGTTACCAAAGCATTAGCCTAATGATCACCTTAATAATCCATGTTCCTGAATGTGAGTGTGAGTCTTCACTATCATCTATTCACTGTTTTGCCAACAGCAAAGGATGTCTTTGACTTAGAGAGAAATCCTATGGAAACAAAGATATTAGCACTCATCTCATGTTTTTCCTATTGGATTGCATGTGAGCACTAAAATATCATGATTTTATTTATTTTTTATCTATTGTAACATGCTCCCATCACCTCAAACGCTGTCCATGACATATTAAGACTAAGTAGATACTTAGATGAATATAACTGCAAGTAAATCACAAATGTGATTTTAATGCAATTTTTAAAATCTTTAATGTTTTAATTAATTATACATGACACTAGAATGCATTTATGTACTTTGATATATCATACAGAGATGGGATATAATTATATGGATACACATACCAGAGTTTATAAACCTAAATAAGAAGACATGGGTTCTGTTTTTTATTTGTTGTAGTAACCTTCTGAAAAATTAATTCACCTTCACATTTCTTCCTAAGACAAATGGAGCCCTCTTCTCCTTAGGTCTCTGTGGAACATAATTAATACTCTTTGAACAAGGTATAAATCAACATAAATACAAGGGTATTTATAAATGTGATACACTTTACTATGGATAAATCCTGGTCACAAGTACTATTTCAGGGGTATGGATTAAAAATTTAAAAAACCTCCAACAAGGTCACAGAAGAGACCAAAATAAAAACTGTGCTTGCCTAAACATCAAAGCTAGGTTTTAGCCCCAGGTCTCAACCATGCAATTCTGTGAGATAGTCTTCAGTAAAAATCAGCAGATCACAGGGTGCTATAAATTAAAGTCTGAAAATATTATGGTGCATCCAAGCTAAGGGGAAACCACAAGCACGTGCCTCCCTACTGTTTTCCTGAGGTCACAATCATAACCCAGTTTACTAAAGAATGTTTTCAACAAATAGAAATTTTCTACCTAGAATTCATTTTCATTCTTGATTTTATTGCCAAAATTTGCAGTGATAAACTAAAATAATGCTTGAATCCCAGAAATAGTATTTAAGAATATTTAAGGAAGCAGTAGTTTAATTCAATGATCATTTATGAGAAAGGAAATTCTCCAAAGAAAACTTAAATGCTAACTTGGAACACTTAAGTTGTTACGATAACTGGCAAAATAATTAGAGCTAGATATAAAAATGTTCAAAACAAATAATACTTGGCTGAAAATGATAATGCACATCTTTTTTAAAAAAATCAGATCATTCTTCATATTCCATATCCTAAAATAAATCTAGGAAATAGCTAAGTAATTTGAAAGATGCAAAAGTCCCCAGATACCAGAAGCTGCTGCTGTTTCCACTAGATGCTCAAAGTACTAAGGAACCTACCAAAGAATACCATCATGGACCTATTTATTTGGATTAGGACAACCTCCATAGTTGTTTTTTTGTTGTTTTTATTTTTGTCTTTTGGTACTGAGGATTTAACCCAGAGGCATTTTACCTCTGAGCTACATCCGCACTCCGCCCCCCCCCCTTTTCTTTTTATTTTCAGACAGAGTCTTTCTAACTTGCTTAGGGCCTTGCTAAGTATCTGAGGCTGTGATGCTTCTACCTCCATGGCCTTTCTGAAAGACTTTAGTGATGCTCAACTTATCCTCTCTGAATGAGTATCGAACCATTCTTAAAAATATCTGAGAATTCAGCTCTCATAATCATCTTGGAGAACCATCTTGGACAGAAGCTCTTTTTCTCTGTTTTCTTTCAGTTTCTTGCCTCCATTTTGTTCTATGATTTTCTTCTCCATATTCAACTCTTGTTCTTCCCAAATCACTTGGTGAACAGACTTCCCTTCACTCTCAGCCTTTCTATCAGAGTCACCTTACATCCTGACTTCTTATACTTGAGGATGCCCTTTCCCAGGGAGTCTCAAGGAGAGGTTACTCTGGGTCCGCCTGCTGCGGGGGTGAGTGTACTCCTGATTACTCACATTGACTGAGTCATTATTCCTTCTCTACCCTCTTGTGGAAACCTCCTCTTAAACCTCTATGCCAATCAACTTCATCTCTGACTTGTGCCAATCCCCCTCATTACTGCGCTTCATTCATTGACATTAGCCCACTTTCTAGCACGTCCGCATCTTGAGTCCTGCTGCTATCCTGGGTGACCTTGATGTTTATATGGAGGAATCACTTCATGCACAAATCTCTCAGTTCCTTGACTATTTCTTTTCCACAGCAGTCTCCCTCTTTCCTGGTATCCTCCTCCATCTTTTAAAATACCTTATGTTACCTCTAGCACTTAAAGGTTAAGGTTCAAACATTCTATCCTCCAAACAACCTTCTATCTCTTTGGCTTTTTCAATTATTCTAATTTCACTTGTTGGATATCCTGGAGACCTCTAGAGACCCTGAACCTTTTCTATGTCAGTGCCTTCTTATAATCACTCATTTCCACATCCACCTAATTACTTAACTCAAATCATCACTTCCTTCACTCTCTGGCAAACACCCTCAACTACCTTGTCCTGTTTTTCTTACATTGTTCTTGTTTTCCAGTTTGGTACCAACCTCACTGTTCACCCTCTCAGTGCTTATACCAAGGCTGCTTAGCACTATTCGAAATTATTCTAAAACTTCACATATTTGGTTATATGAAAAATCAATGGCAACTATTATCAATTGTACTTCACATATGACTTACTGGTCTAGTCATGGTAATGGTTTTTATTTGTAAATACAGACACTGCTTAATCATCCCTAGACTTTGTCTCTGTTGTTTTCTCTGCCTTTATTGTCTTCTTTTAGGAATCAACTAAGATGTCAGTTCTTCACAAGCCCAGGTTAATTTCTTCTCTATGGTATCCCACATTGCTCCAGATTTCCTCAATCACAATTGTACATAAAATGTGAAAAAAAGATTGTTGTTATCCATTTTCCTGTGTGTGCCCTATTTGGTTCTGTACTCTGTGAAGGAAAAGCAATGTTTGTTGTGTTGAATCTTTTGTCCTCAGTGTCTCAGCAAACACTATTTGTTGGATGAATATAAAGTGAATGCATTAATCTATGTCATATATGACTGAAGGGGTAGTCATATCAGTATTACTTGCATGTAGTCTGTTGTTCCTTTTTCACTGTATGCAATATATATATATAGATATGTGGCTTCAAGAAATGACATCAATATGAATTAAATAACATAGAAATAAGAAAGCTGTAGTCACTTTTTTATGTGTGTGCATTGTATTAAGGATTGAACTCTAGGGGTGCTCTACCACTGAGGCACATCCCCAGGCCATTATTATTATTATTATTATTATATTTTGAGTCAGAGTCTAGCTATGTTGTTGAGGCTGGCCTCAAACTTAAGATTCTCCTGCCTCAGTCTCCCAAGTTGCTGGGATTACAGATATGTATAAACATGCCTGGCAATAGTCACATGTTCACAAGGACACAGAATCAACAGTGGAGAAACAAAGAGAGTACAAATATGAAATGTATTACCAAAAGATGGAAAAGTCACAAAAAGTCAATGGTGTTGTATAGGCATATGGAATAAATTCAACATCCTAAATCTTATTTGTATATGGTAAATTCTTTATGTATTCTAAAGTCTTTATTTTTATGCACAGTTTTAGACAACAGGGTATGTCTCTCTGTGTGATGATAGTTAATATTAGTCATAATTGTTTTAGGAATCACATCATGGTAAAAGTCAGGACATCCTGAGATTGAGATTCATTTGGAAATGTGGACCAAGGTGCCATTTTTCCCAGCCTCAGAAACATTAACTTTGGCATAAATGATAATAATCCATCGAATAAAGTAAATCTATCATCCAGAATGTTACCTAATGATATTAAATGAACTAACTAAATGACACTTATTTTGATTGAATTCCACAGATTTGGAATACATCTAAAAATACCTGACTCCAACTACTTCCTTTCCAATAAAGGGAAGATTTCAAATGAATGAGAGAAATAAGTATGATAGACATGTAATTAATAAATTGTTATAAAGAATTATATAATCAACTAAACACTTCAGGGTAAAAGTGTATATAATATAGGAGGTAATATAATTTTCTTATGGTTTCTATTCTATTTATGAATTTTTTTAAAAAAGTCTCATTGCTCTTATGTAGTATATATTTGTAGAGAAATAAGATTTTTATCACTTCATCCTTTCATAAATTTTACTTGAACATATTTTTCTCATTTTAGATTTTTCATAGTGATGAACTTTGCTCAATATTATTTGAGTGATTATATATGTTTATGAGCACATAATGATTTAATAAATACAATCCTGCAGAATGCTTTTACTCACTTTCTTCATAACAGGGTATTATAAAATGAAATAATGCTGTGGTAAAGAATTTTAAACTCCTCCCAAAGTGGTCAGTGATTAATTTCACATAGTTTTGCATTATATAAGGATAGTCAAGCAAGTTAGTGTTTATGGCAAAGAAACTGAGAAACCAAAGGATTTTTATTCTATGATGGAAATAAATAAGGGAAAGTGCTTTTCTCAGCTCTGTCCTGTGCTGGATATATTACTGTGTCCTGACTTTTCAAAGTGAAATAAATGGGCTCATTGTTAGAAAATGTGGGACACCCAACCAACCTATTATAACAAGTCAAGCTGGCACAACAAAGGATTGGAAATGGAGACCAGATGCTCTGATGTTGTAAATGCACAAATGGCTACTCTTTTTAGGACCATGAGAACCTGGTAAAATAGAGAACTTTGATTTATAAGAACAGACTCTTCCCTTGGTACAAGGTACAATACTGACACAGATATACAATAAAATATTGTGATGCATCATTCTTCAGTGTATCCTTAATAAGGATGCCAGAAAGTACTACAGGAGTAAAAAAGAATCACAATATGAAAAAAGTAATTGGAGTTTAATAATTATTGTATGAGTTTGTACATTGAGAACATAGTGAAAATAGTCATTTTTTCAAATTTCTTTAATGCCTGAGAAAAAGCAGTATACATATTTTCATTGTTTATTTTAGATGCAATTCAGGAATTGCTACTTATTCTGGAAGTACAATGTTTTTCATCAGGATATTATATAGCCAGTGTGAAGTGTGCCATTACTTTTAGAGTCTAATTTTAATCTTGAAAATCACAAATTTAAAGTCCAAATAAGACTAGATTTAATTAAATCAGAATCATTGCTTTAAAACAAAAAGGCTGGGATAGTCTGTGAGTATCCTGAGAAGTTCAGACAAATACTATGCTGATACTTAGCATTTAAACACATATAGCCTATTTCTTCAAGATTATGAAAAGTATCACCTCTCCATTTCTTTGCATTGATTATGTTTAGAACCATATCAAGCTCAAGAATTCTGTATTTCTAAAGAATCTATCACAATCATGATTATATATCTTATTTTCAATCTTGGAAAGCTTTATCTAGTAGGTTATAGATTTCCCATATAACTTATTAGATAAGTCTCTTGAAAGTTGAGCACATACCCAATATAAAGTTGTGGAATAGAGAGACTGGGAAATATAACCCTTTAGCTTCATAAGTCCTTATGACCAGAATACCTCAAATATGAAACGTCCACTATTAATACCTTCTCAAGTTAGAACAAATTTGATACATCAGATGTGTCTGCTTGGAACACAATTGTTTCTTTCTTTCTTTTCTTTCTTTTTTTTTTGTTTCGATTTCAATTTAGTAACAAAAAACTAACTGTTTTCTTTTTCGTTTTTCTTTTTTATGTTCACTCTAGAATACTGTTTGTCCTCAAGAAGGCTAGGTGATAAATGGTTGATCAAAGAATCGAATGTCTAACTGGCATCTGGGGCCAGCCCCCCTGTGAATGACACACAGTTCAAGGAAGTATGTCAAGAAGATCCTTGTAAAATGAAGTCTTATATGACTATATCTGTCCCACTCTGCTGAGTAGTTAAATTTATCCCCGAGAGTTACATTTTCCTCCTTTAAATTCTTTGTTTTCTTTTCTTTATAGGACATGGTGATATAAATGTACCCAGTGTACTTCTCCAGACAGGTAATGGGACACCAGTGATGAGAAAGTGCTTGTAATATCATCCTCCCACACATACCCCTGAATATACATCCATTCAGAGGTGTGTCATCCTGCCACAAGGGAACATCTTTCTCCTTGGCCTTCCTTTTATGAAAGCTGACGCAGCCATGAAACAAAACTAGACAGACAGAGTACCACCTCCTTTTCCTCTTCCTCTGTGCCTTTTCTCCTGTGCAGGCAGTGATTGTCACCTGTGTGGTAAACTAAGCCCTCCTTAGAGTACCCGGCGGTACACAGACTACCCAGGAAGCTTAAGCCAGCAGCTGAGTCAGGGCCAGAAGGAGCTCCTAATTCCTCCTCTGGGCAGGAAAAAAAAATTTAGAAGTCAGGAAGCATTTACTTTCAGAAGTGACATGGAAGTAAGAAGGGCCTCCACTGTCATTCCAAACATGACTGAATAGGACTTGGAAGCAGAACATGTCAATGACAAGTGCCAAAAGCAAAATGAAGACTTTTTGCCACAATATGACATGTCCGTAATAACTGTGAATTTCTGCATCAGAAAAAAAATAATTCGACTGACTCCTGTATTTGCTAGAACATCTATTTCCAACCCACAAGTTATTAGTAGGGGATTTTAAAATGTGATTCCAATAGGAAACAAACAACATCAATAATGATAATCACAATTTGTTCCAATACTTCTCCAATACCAGCGCAGCAGTAGCTGTTGCTGCTCTTATGTATGAAGCACTTGCAAGATGCCAGCAACAATACTGAGTATTTTGTCTTTACAGCAAACTCAGGAGGTAGGTAGGTACCCTGTTATTCCTACTCTCGCCCTTGTAAAATTAGGAGTGATTAAGTAACTTTTCAAAGTGATATGGCTTGTAAATGGTGAAATGGTGAGACAGGACTCAGGTTCACACCGTCTCCACCCAGAGCCCCCACTTACTGCCCGCTGTCAGCCACCCCCACACACATGCTGTCATTTCACTCTCAACTTCTCATAGCCTGTACCCTTAGTGCCTGGATGTCCTATTCTCCAACACTGTATAACCAAGGGACCTATGTCCAGGTAAAGCTGCCCTTTGAGAAAAGTATCATACTTGTTATTTGCTTTCTCCTTTTTAAACTGGATCCACTTTCTGCTTTCTTTTTTCTTCTCCACCCTGTATACTGTACTCTCTTCTGTTTTTCATTGCTTTCCTCTGTTATCTGCCTATCCTCTTTTCTCCCACCTAATTCCATTGCTCCACCATCTCTTATTCTTATTCCCCAATATCTCTCGGTAACATGTTTTCTTCAAGGCACACACATTGAAAACACAACACATTCAGAAGCCTTTGGGGTTAGCATTGTATTAAAAGTAAACAGAAAATAAAAATGTAAGTTGTAGTCAGAGAGGAAATATTCACTTTATGAAACATACATCTAATACAAGTCTTATGTCTAGAATTTATAAAGTACCTCCAAAAATAAATAAGAAAAAACAAATTGGCATAAGACGACATACAAATATTTAATAATCATATTAAAAGGTAAATAATATCACTACTTATCAGAGAAATATAAACTTAGACCATGGTAGGATACTACTACACATTCACCAGAATGACCCAAATCAAAAGGACTACAAACACCAAATGTTGGTGAAAATGCAGAAAAAATGAGACTTCCATATATTGCTGGTAGAAGAGCAAAACAGTACCTCATTTTGGAAAGTTGATGGGCAATAGAAAATGAACATTTGCCTAACTATGACTTAATAAATTCTATTCCTAAGAGAAATTCTACACCCAGGAGAAATCAGTGCATATGTTCACAAAAATAATTAGCATAAGAAAGTACTCAACAGCTTTACTTTTAATATCTCCAAACTAGAAACAACACAAATGTTCATCAATCAATAAGAGTGTGAATAAATAAATTATGGTATGTTCATAAAATTGAATACTATATTATAATGGAAAGAAGAAACTGGGGGCTGGGATTGTGGCTCAATGTTAAAGTGCTTGCCCAGCATGTATGAGGCCCTGGGTTCAATCCTCAGCACCACATATAAATAAATAAATAATAAAGGTACATTAACAACTAAAAAACATTTTTTTAAAAGAACAAACTGATGATCTATACACCGATATGAATAAATATTTTAAAAAATACATTTTGGAAGATAGAAGCTAGACACAAAGAGTATAACCATAAAATCCCATTTATATGAAGTTCAATAAGAGGCAAAACTAATCTTTTTTGACAAATGTCAAGAAATAGGGTAGTTAGTATATGAATATATAAATATCTCAAAATTCACCAGGATGTATATTTAATATTTATATATTTCATTGCATATAAATTGTACTTAATAAAAAATGTAAATGGATTAAGAAGTATTTAGGTAGGAAATTATGACATTCCAGATTACTTCTTGCCAAATTCATAACATTTCATTAATAGCTGAACCTTTTGTTTCAAGGAGGATTGATAAAAAGCCAGGAAGCTAGAATGATCCTACCCTCTATGGAAAACAAAATCATAGATGAATTCAAGGTTCTCAACATACCAGGTCTTAAAAATTCGATTTTGGGTTCATTTAAAGTTTCCAAAGTTGCTGAATACACACAACCTAATGTGTTAGGCATACCCAAAGGAAATTGTTAAAATGTGCATTTGAACATATTCATATTGCTGAGAAAACACTGGAAGTTGAATAATGAAAATGTTAATAATTAAAAGCCCTCTTGAATACAGTCTCCTGACCATGAGGAAGCTAAGAGCTGCCATCCATAAAATTTAGTGTTGCAGGCCAAACATCTTTTCCAGACACCAATTACTTCCAGGGCCACAATGTGGCTCTCCAAAGGGGTAGAACAAGTCCCTATAACTCACTGCCCAATATATGACAGAGCTCTCTGCTGTGGCAATATACCAGAGGAAATGGCAAAATGTTATGTTAAGAATGGAAAGAAAATAAATTTAAATGGCATGAGACATCTCCTTTACCATCAAAATATGCACATGCTAAGTAAGGTTCAGTATAGGTTGACAATGGGACCCGAGGACACCCTTAGGTTTATTAATGGTGAACTGGACTGTGGCCAACAGGGCTAGCTAACATAACCACTTCTGATGGCTCTGAAGGAATTGGGATTCCAGTTAACTGAATGGCCATAGAATGTAACTCCTGACTTCACCTTCTACTTTTTTTCAAGGTTTAGACAATCCAGAAAATTATACTTTTGAATTTCTTATTACTCAATATTCAATTTGCAAATTACTTTTGCTTCCTAAGATAATAACAATCACTTTAATGAATCCTTAGTCTTTGTTTCTTGTTGATTGGGCATTCTTATATGTGATTTCTCTTGGCTGTCTTTTGGAACAGAAGTCATCCTTGTCTCATCTTCATAAAAGACAAATTATTTGCTTCCTAACACTGAATAAATATGTAAATGGTAACCATAATATTGCTCATACTTAATTCTTACGTTCTTGATTAAGAGAAAAGAAAATTTGAAACAATAGAAGTGCTAGGACATAGACAATTCTGAATACTGAAGTTCCTTGGTTCTTGGAAACAATTTTTTTTTAGCAACACATTAAAATCTAATTAAATAAGCCTAGCTTTTACCTGAGATTTTTAATTATACATATTACCAAACTATAGGGAGATACTATTACTGAATCATTTTCTTTTACAAGCACATGGGCTTGAAATGAGAAATCATGTTTAGCCACCAAATTTTAAGATACCAAAGTTAATTGAATATACTAGGGGCTTAAATCAGTTCATTTAAATTTAATTATAATACCTTCTCCCTCAAATGTGGAGAAAGAAGACAATTATTCTAAGACAAACCTGGTATACAGAGAAGAGTTAATCAAGCCTCTTACTATTGAATTTAAATGGATCTTTTGAAAAATTGAACCTTAACTAGTATCTGAGAACTTAGATTTCAGGAGGTATCCCACCATTCTCTAAATTTTAAGAGTGGCTCATTGTGTCCCAATTGCTTATGCAAACAATGTGGTTTATGTTGAACACATACTTTCCTCCTTAGAAGTCTGGAATTTTGGTACATTCTAGTCAGAAGGTACCTAGCTAACCTCTTCCTAATAAAAACTCCAGGCACTGAGTTCCTGGTAGGCTGCCCTGGTAAAAGACATCCCTGATGAAAACCTTTCACATTGTTACTACTCAGTATTGGAGGAATTAAATGCATCCTGTTTTACTCCACTTGGAGAGTAGCTTTTGGGAGTTTGCATCTGTTTTCTGCAGATTTTGCCATGTGTGCCCTTTCCTTTTGCTTTAAATTCTTTTGCCATAATCAAAGCCAATAATACGACCAACTGATGAGCTCTGGGGGCTCCTCTTTTCTTTGCTTCAAGGTAAGAATTTGTTGCATTTTTATTTACCTAGTAGTAATGACCTGTGTCTTTTAATAACAAAAGTTCTTTGGATGGGTCTATAATAATCTAAACAGCTAAATTCAGTATCTTAGAGTCAAGTTACTGGCCAAATATTTTAGCACAACTTCCCTTTTACAAATATTTTTAGTTGTAGATGGACACAATACCTTTGTTTTATTTATTTTTATGTAGTGCTGAGGATTGAACCCAGTGCCTCACATGTGCTAGGCAAGCACTTGATTTTTTGGGATGGTACCTTTTGGATTTCACTACAAAATACAAAAGGTACCACCCCTAAAAATCCCTTTAACTAAGCAGAGAATGAAAAATAATCACATTTGTAGCATAAATAGATTTGTTCATGTAAGTCTTATTAAATGCTCAATTGTCTGTCTGTGTGAGCCACTAGGTTTCATTTCCTCCCCCCACCTTTTTTTCCTATCCAAGCTTCTTAAAAATGCAGCTGGCCAGAGTAAATAATGAATGTGCCCACTCTCCTCGTTTTCTTTTACATTTTTTAACCTGCTTTTATGTTGCTATTAAGAGTAAAAAATGTACTGGTAAATAGCAAGAAAAAGAAAAAAAAAAAACCTATGAAGTAGAAAGTTATTTGATAGGGATGTGACCTTGGCTGATCCTTTCATAAGAACTAACACTAAATAGATAGCCTTATGTTGAGAACTAAAACAGTATTATGGTAAGTAACACCTCAAAGTGTCAAAGGCCAAATTATTAAGCTCAGGAATATAATTGCATATTTCTTTTTATTCTAATTACAGTGCAATCTCTTCTTGATTCCAAGTTCGTTTTGCATCAATGAGCACTGCCTGCTGTTTCCACATATGTATGCCTACACAGTAATTTGTCCATTAGTTCTCATTTGTTAACAATCCTTGTATTAAATTACAAATATCCAATATTAATTTTCCATGTATAATTCCCTTTGCCTGGATGCTCATTAGCTTTCACCAATACATTTTCAATGCCTTCTTGTAAAATAATGGACTAAAATGCTTCATCCTGCAGAGTAGAGATGTTACCTGAGAAAAATCATCCTTTTTCCCCCCCTGGACTCCCAAAACACTATTGTCATCCTACTCAAATCAAGCAATGATCCAGAAAAACTCAGAAGACCACAGATAACAATCGTCATCAAAAATATAAAACAGGGAAATGTCACCCGAGGGCACTCACCCACTGGAATCTGCAGAAGTGATAGCAATCAGTGGCAGGATCTTCAGAGGGAGGCTGGTGGGTCGTGGAATGTTCTCTGATTCACTTTTCAAGTCAGCTTGTTCCAACTGTCTGAAGGCAAGAGGAGGAAGCTGAATATTTCGGCATGAAAGTCTCCGCACAAGATAGGGTTCCATTCCCCGGAAAGGGTCTTCCTCTTCATTACTGGAATGCAGTGTTTCCTCAGAGGCCTATGAGTAAAGTTCAAGAAAATACACACAATCAATAAAGGCTCCCATGTTTATGGTTCATAATGGCTTCATACCTTCTCGGGGGGAAATTAACTTAATTTCACATTAACAATAATAGTTACTGAAAAGATTAGAATTTATAACTGAAGTTAAGGCTTATTTTGAAAGCAGTAAATTTGTTCACCAGTATATTTAAGAATAGTTTGGTTGAAACCATTGATTAACATCTTCAGTCATCTTAGAATTCATTAATTTTTTCATGAAATATATAAAATCAAAGGTAAATCAAAACGTTTTTCTACCTTCTATGAAATGAATTGCAAAAACATAATTTCCTTATATATCTTGAGTTATTCATGTCAGGATGTGTGTGTGTGTGTGTGTGTGTGTGTGTTCTCACATAGATGCCTATGAAAAGAGAGGTAGAAATTGACTCCAATTTTTTTCATACTTAGCACCATATTTGCAACACGTTTTCATACATCTCTAATATTCTCTTGCCAATTGCTATAATAAGAATTTCTGAGAGGGATTTTTAAAAAGGTATGAAAATAAAATCTGAATGCAGATAGGATTTAAAATGCACCTGAATTTTGAAAAATTTGAGCTACAGTACCCACATACAAAGGCAAATCAAGTCTAGAATCAAGTAGAAAATTTAGTATTTTTATTTTAATTGAGAAAAATGTCCATTACATGAACAATAATTATTTCTAAGTTGTTAAAAAGTCTGCCTGAGTAACATTTATTATATTCACATACTTAGAATTACAGTATCATCAAATGCTACAACACACTTCAGTAGAGTGCTAGGTTTTTGAATACTTACCACTTTACCAGTTGGGTTTTGGTGTGTGTGTGTGTGTGTGTGTGTGTGTGTGTGTGTGTAACAGGGATTGAACCCAGGGGCACTAACTACTGGGCAACATCCCAGCACTTTTATATTTTATTTAGAGACAGGATCTTGCTGAGTTAGTGCCTCACTAAGTTGCTGAGGCTGGCTTTGAACTTGAGATCTTCCTGCTTCAACCTCTGGAGCTGCTGAGATTATAGGCATGTGCCACCATGGCCAGCACCACCTGTGTTGTTTAATCTAAGGAGTAAGTTTCTTTCTCATAAAAACAGAACTGGTATTTACCCATAAGAATTAAATGATACATGGATAGCTGATTGCCTATAATGTGCTAAGGAATGGTAAAGGGCGATTTTCTTCCCTTCTGAGTTTTATAAATGAAGAAACTCACCCAGAGGCAAAGTACCTTCCTGCAAAGTAGCTTTTGGTTATAAGTTAAAACTGCATGAACTTTGGAGCATTCAGAACCAGAATATAATCTTTATTGCACTCCTTATTATACCACTATCTTGGATCAATTAACTTGAGCTCACTAAGGTTATTTCTCCAAAAACCGAGATAATTTTCTCTGAAAAACTGAGGTAATATTATTTACCTCTTGAGATCATGGTTTGGAGCAGGTACAAAGAATCATAAGCACCCACATCTGGCTCAGTTTGTACTCAACAAAGTGGCTGTTATTATGATTGGAATCCAGTCTAATTCTTTTTTTTTTTTTTTCCATAGCACTATGCTACCTTTGATGCTCATTCTAACCTGGTTGATTTCCAAATAGAAAATGTGTCTCTTCCTGTTATACATCTTGAAAACTATGAAAGCAACAATGGACTATTCAGCCTTGCATTGTGTTGTCTAATTTTATGGATCAAAAGTAAAATACAAGAATACCTAAAAGGTGAAGAAGAGGTCTAAGCTAAAAGAGAGTTCATTTATTTCAAATCTCAGACTTGAAGATCTAGATTCTGAGAATCTGTGCTTTGAAGAACCCATTTGCTTTTTAAAATGACATCAATAACAGTAATTAAATATATTTACTGAATCCTTTAAGTGGTGCTATGCTTTACTTCTACCATCTTATTTAATTGGTATTAAAATCCTGTGAGATAACTCCTCTTTTCTCATTTTACACACAAAGGAACAGAGATCTATTAAATTACAGACCTTGGCCAAATGGCCACATGGCAAGTAGGTCGACCAACTATCCCTGTTTGGTGGGAACTTTCTGATTTTAGCCATTTAAGTCCTGTGTCTGGGAAAACACCGCACTATCAAGCAAACCAGGATGGATACTCACCTCCAAGTCAGGATCCAATTTCAAATCTCTTTGAATGAATGCCTGATGTTACACTCCCTAAACAGGTGCAGGGTGTACACAACTAGACATGAATAGAACACATGCTAATTCACCACAACTTTATAAACTTCACACTTGCATTTTTTGTTAGTTAACAGAATGGAGGTCAAACAATCCTATGAAAACATTCAAAAGTCATGGTAATATCTGAGTAAATCAGGAGATAGAAATTTTAGATCCTGCTATACCAGTGATTACTCACGTGGTCTTAAGAAGTCACTTAACCCAGACCCTTAAAGCTTAGGTGGTAACAATTCATGGCAAAAAATAAAATGTTTAGTGAATTTGCAGATACGGAAAATAAGGAGAAAACACATGCAAGTCACATTCTTAGCTTTTACATGGGGAAAAGAAGCTGCATGTGCATGAGAAGTTTATCTATGAACAGAACTGAAAACTGACCCCTACTCTTGGGTTGCTAACAGGTCATAATTAAGTTAATGGCTTATGTGTATGGATAGCTTTCTTCAAAATGCACATAGAAAGAAGAAAAACAGATGAGTCTACCAAAGCTTTGGTCACACTGAATGTAGCTAGCTGAAGTTCACACCTTTTTTATTAGATGCATAGATATCCACTGTGAGCATTTGCAAATGGCAAAAATGCTTCATATAACCCAGGTTATTTGATGAATGACTTAATGTTTGTGACATTCTCTTTTCAATAAAACTGACTCAAGGGGTAATTTCTTTTGAGAGAATCATCGCTATTAAAAATAAAGTTTAAATTCAAGCTCATATATTGTCAGTTTAAGCCCAAACTTCCTGTAGGTACTTTATTCTTGATCATAAAAATGATTAAGCAATAGACATTTATATTCTAACATTTTTGACTCAAAAACTGTATAACAAGTGATCTTTTCACACTCCAGGTCAATGTGTTTCAATTATACTAGAGAAATAAAATGGAATAACTTTATCACGTAGAAGGCAAGAGTTTAAATGCCCTTATTTTGGAAAGAAATATAAATCTAACCAACAGAGCAATACATATCTTGTATTATTGCCAGAAAAAAATGGTATTTTTGCAAGGAGTTCAGGAAAAAGATATTATTTCTAACATCCTAAAGCCCTTATTTCTCAAATCATGGTACTAAAATCCCTGCATTAGAATCAAGGAAGGTTCTTGATTTATTCAGATTCTCAGGTCCTCTTCCAGATATGCGTAATCAAAATCTCTATGATTACAGCCTAAGAGTCCAAATAAATCTCCACTATGATTCTTATGTGTACTAAAATTTGAGAACTAATGGTTTTGACATTTTAGACATAGTCTAATAAGATTATCTGGCAAAGATCTAGCCACAAAGACATTCATTGCAGCTCATTTATAATAACAAATAACTGAATGTAATCTAATTGCTACACTGAAGGATTGGCTTAATAAATTTTGATGCATCATATGATGAAATACTATGATAATGTTATAATAATGCAGAAGAATATGTGATTATGTTTATGACATAATGTTGAGTGTAAGAACAGATTATAGAGTGATCTCATTTTTATGAAACAACATCAAAACAAAAAAGTCACATAGTCATACAAACATTCTGGAAGGATATAGCCTAACTCCCTAAAGTAGCTCTCTGTTTAGTGGTATGAGTGGTTACTTTGTTTCATATCTTATTTCTCACAAGTTTCTATATTCTCCATGACAAAAGTGTTTTCATTGAAAAGCACATGAAAGTCTCAGCAATAAAATGAAACAAAGTTCACTTTGCTATTAATGGGACTTAAAAAACCACTTGTTCACCTTCAAAATATACAATATCAAAAGAAAAACACTAAAATATTTGGATGAATTGTTTGATTATAATAAAATAAATTTCATGATAATTAGCCAATTTATGTGGAATAGTTGACAAATAACTTTAATGTGATGCTTTTCACTGTTAGAATAAATACCCCTTCAAAACATATACTTAAGAAAGAAACTCCATCCTATTACCACATATTATGGATAAGTATTAAATCTGTGATGATTATTATTATTTACTTTTTTGTTTTCTTTAGTTTCTAAGCAATATATAATTAATTTCTCTGTTCTTTTTTTTCATCCTTTCAAAGTAGGTTGCAAACCACACACACACACACACACACACACATACACACACAATGTCATGAATATAATACTCATATGCATTATATGAAAGAATATTCATTTTTAGACACACAGCTAGACCACACTTCCAGATTCCCTTACAGGTAGATATATACATGTCAATGAGTGTTTTATTACATGACTGAGATGTGTGTGACTTTCACATGTGACTAAAAAGATTGTGGATACAATCCTCCAATTTGACCTCCTTCTACAGTCCCTTGCCATATGTTGAAGATAGTAGGGTCACAGGGTGAAAGAAGTTATAGTCCTTAATCATTGATTACAGGAAAGCCACTTGCCAATCACAATGCTTTATTTGGGCTGCATGAGTCACAAGTAGTCAGTATGGGTGTAAGTCACTAAAATTTGAGGGATTCTTGTTATAGGGGTCTATTTTGCATGTATAGGCACTTCTATATTCTCTGAGTTCAACCTATCTTATTCATGATATTATTTCCTGATTGATTCCTTAAGTAAGCAGTTACTGAGCACCTACCACCTTTCAAGCCTGTCTTGGGTGCTAGACATACACAGACAAATTGGCACTTTCTTTCTTGTAAGTGCCTTACTTAGGGAGAAAATAGAGAGATACTCACCAGAATATGATAAAAGCTGTAGCAGAGACTTAGGGTTCTTTAGGAGTATCTAGGTGGGCTTTCTCAAGCGTTTCTTTCTAGCCAGATGTAA